CACCCATGTCTGTAGTCTTTACTATCTGCATCACTAGCCTGTAAACTACTGATGCCACTGTTATAGGACGGTAGTTGATTATATCGGCTTTGTCACCCGTTCCTTGATAGATCATACCCATCCTGCTTAGTTTCCACCAATTGGGAGCTTCACCATCCATTAGTGCTTTGCTCGCTGCCTCTCTTAATGTTTGGTTAGAGATTGTTCCTAGTTTTTTTCTTAGCATGATTCGGAAGCCGTCAGGGCTTGTTTATTTGCTATTAGGAAATCTTTTTTCTGCCCTTTCTCACTCTCGTTGTCCCAATGTCCCAACGATGCATGCAGCGTTGTCTTGATGTTAAAATTTTTCCGTACTCATTGTTTTTATAAATTTCATTGCCTCATCCCCTTCTAGTCTGGCTCCCTTACCTGAAGTTATAAACCTGTTATATGCTTTTCTTATTACTCAGAAATTAGAGATTAGTCCAAAAGTTTGCAGCTGTCTGTCTTTCCTTTTTGTTTAGTTCGTCCATTCATTGGGCCCCCTTTCTTCTTGTCTTTTCACTGATCAAATCAGACGCTTCCTTTTTGCAGCTCAAAAAGATATCCCATTTTCTTGTGACATCATCTATCGGTTCGCCACTCTGATTAGCATACCTCTGTTCCCTGGAGGCTTCCTGACGCCTTACTATGACTTCCTTACCTTCCTCATCTCACCAACTCTTGAGTTCGTGTCGGCTTTTCCCGACTGATTGGACTCATACTTTAGCGAGCTGTAACTCAAACAATCGAGTTGCATTTGCGTACGCACACTCTGTTTAGTATCCTCGGTGTGTATTTTCTCAATCTCTTCAGTTGCTATTTCTCTTTGCCTTTCTGAATAAACATCACCATGTGGTTGCTCAAAATGCCGTCTTTCCAATTTCATTAATCTTCCAAAACTAAGCTTGATAGGTTAGTGATCACTACCTAAGCTTCTAGACTCATACTCATCTATGTTCATCACCCTAACCCGATCATAATTCCTATGTGATATGATTGCGTAATCTATCGTCAACTGCAGACTTCCCACCTCCCATGTTATCTGCCCTTCACATTTCTCAGTGCTGTTACAATTGATTAAATCATGCCTTTCACACATGTGTATTGGCATTCTGCCTGTTGGATCAGTATATCCATTCATATCTACTATGTGCGCATACATATCTCTTAAAATAATTACCTAACACTCTTCTCCTAGTTTGTCAAAGTCATTTCCTCCGACGCTGCATGATTTTTACTATTTCCTGTCTGGGTTTTGCCCCTTTCCACTTGTATACCAAACAGAGGAGCGTCATTTGCCCTGCCACTTTACCTTTTAGCCATGAATGCTCCTTGCACTCCTGCTTGACCCTTTGCCAGTCTGTACTTTTATCAATGAATGCCCCAATACAACCCCAATTTCTGCTGCCATCTGTTCCATTACAATATTTCCACGTGTTGTCCAAATGGCTAGGAGGTCGTTCCATGTCTCTAAAATGTGTTTCTGCAAAACCATATACCATGGACCTCTGCTTCTTTAGCTGTTCTTCTACCTCTTATCATTTCAGCCTGTTGCTGTCATTCTGCATGTTAGCATACCCTATGTCTGAATTGGCTCGGCTTTCGTGGCTATGTGTATTTTTGCCTCAGACTCTACGTATCTTAAATGCTGGCGCCACTTTGGAATTGTATCTGTCTATAACACCTGCCAAAGAATCTCCCTTGTTGTTTTTCTTGTTACTAGCTATTCTTCACACCGAAGGGCCCATGTGACCCCGCCCAGCAAGTCACCAACCCACCTCATGACCTAGCCATCCATCGAAGTGAATTCTGTCTCATTGACAACCACCCCACCTAAGCACGTCTCTGTTTATTTCCACCACCTCAAAGCCTTTCTTTCGACTCATGCGCCATATCTCTTGGTTTGCGTTTGACAACCGCTTTTTGCAGGCTGACGTCACGCACCGGTACCTCCGGTATCGTGCATATCATTACCTGTACCTGAGGAGAAGTGGCACGCATGTCATCGACCCCTTTCGCCAGTTTGGTCGCTAGTCCTGCCGTATCTTCATTTAGGACATCGTTTAAACCACCTGAAGTTATCACGAGGTTTCGTCTATCAGCTCTAGTTTTAACTTTTGCGCTCGCTTGCCTCTTGACTGCTTCTAGCTTGCGTCCTCGGAAGGTCCCTACTGGAACCCTCTTCTCACCTCTTACACTCTTTTTGATTGCTTCTGCGCATTGATTTAAATTCGACTCCCCGGTGATTATCACACTTTGGGACTTTTGAGCTGGAGCGTCCTGCACCTGGGGGTTACTTGCACTTACGACGCCGGCTGCTTTGTCCACTACCAGCCCCCCCCCCCCCACTTGCTGAAGCTGGGTCTTGCGACCATAGAACCGGCTGAACTTGTTTTTCCAAAGTTGCTGGCTCTTTCTTCTCCGCCGTTCTGGTTGCTGGTGCCCTACTGTTCTTTCCGTCGGCCGCTCCTTTGTTCACCTGCGCTAGTGCCTCCACGGCGTACTTGATCCTTTCTGCTATAGTCTTCCTTTTCTCTTTCTCTGTCGCCAACACAGTCACCAACTAGGTGATTCTCATCAGCAGTTCACTCTGGGCAACCATCATTTTCTCTATTTTTCCCTCGACTTCACATTGCCTACACTTGGCGTCAGCCTCTTCTCCATGCGCTTCTGCACTTGAGTCCATTTTCAAGCCCACACTGCATCTCGAACAGTTTACACCCGTTTAACAAAGTCTTTTTGACATAAATTTTCTTATGACTTGTCTCAATCGATAATTACCAAACGCAATTCCTGTCCTACGAAAAAAGAAAGTCTAAGCTCTACTACAAAAATTTGGATGTTCAATGTACTGCACCTCCCGCACGGTGTGTCAAGAAAAGCAAAACAAAAGAACAAACCACACACACACACGCACAAGCTAGTAAATACCTGGTGACTTACCCCCGAGAAAGCCGCACAGTGTAATAAGTATACAAAGATTTTAGCTGCTACCTTAATATTTATAAAGGCAAGCTCAAAAACATTCAGAAGCACTTCGTTCTGGCCATGAGCCTGAGTACAAGGTATCAGGTTGGGAAAAAATTCTGTAAGTCCAGTCCTGGTGAGCCTTAAACGAGAAATTTTTTTTATTGAGATGCATCTGCACAGTTCATCGGGAGCGCTCAAGAAACAAGTTCAATTTTTCCAGTGGGGTACGGGTAAGGGCGCCACTGGCGTTGTGTTAGGCGTTGAAAAAATCGCATTTCAACAAGACACACCAAATGGGATGAATGCTTAGAAACGACGCGTTGAAGAAACTAAAGGTGAATGCTATGGCCATGAGCTTTACTGTGCGTTACCAAGAACACCATGAGAGGACAGTGTTATATAAGTGATGTATTTTTAAAAGCGTCCAAAACATGTGACTATGACACAGGGGATAGCGTGTCCAGATATGTTGTCCTGGATCTATAGATCAGGGTTGAAATGTTATTGAAACTACTTCTTTCTGCGTTTTCTAATTGTGAATATTTTTACGTCATTTTGGTGGCGTAAATACGTCACTGGATCTCTGTCTAACCCGGCATAGAACGTTTTTGTGTTAAAAAGTAACCCTGAAAGTGACCGTTAATGTGAAAGAAAAGATGATAACCTCTTATTTCTAAAATTGCTGCTGTTGGAGTTCTTATCCAGCGCCGCTCGAAATCAATGAGTCGACAGAAAAAAAAATTGGGAAGTAAGTGTACGAGTGGAGTATGCATACCAATATAAAACTTAGTTGTATGTCGAGATTAGTCCGGCAAGAATACACATAAAATATTTCTTCAGCGAATCTAGATACGAGGAGGAGCAACTGGCAACTGAAGTAAAAGGTTCAGGCCACATGAACCCAGCGTTTCGTCTTTATTTCCCCAAGCACGCTTGATGTCAGCGTAGTCTTCCTTGTGCGCTTATCACGAGGCCTCAACCACATAGAGCAATCGCATAAACAGTGGTCCGAAACAATGTTGTCAAGCTTTCACTCACAATACCTATTCTTATATGTAGCTCATTCTTTGAGTTTCTTGTAATCATAACTGCATTGCCCTGAGATTCACGCCATATCAAACACAGTGCCTGAAAATAATGAAATCATTACTACAGTGACTAGTATTTTGTTCGTTTGGCGTCGTTCAAGCTGAAAAGTGAGGTCATTACTAATCGCCTTCTTACATGCAGAGGTTGCACAACTCATTAATTTATTCAACCCATTCAAACTCACATTACTCCGTGCTGGCTATGAGCCTGAGTTCAAGGTAATCCAGTTGAGAAAAAATTCTGTGAGTCCGGGTCCTGGTGAGCCCTAAACGAGAAATATTTTTTAATGGGAAGCGTTCCTTAGGGAACGTCAGTAACGTCTATCTATCTATCTATCTATCTATCTATCTATCTATCTATCTATCTATCTATCTATCTATATCTATCTATCTATCTATCTATCTATCTATCTATCTATCTACGACATTTAGCTCTCCTGGCCGTTTGAAAAAATGGTATCAATACCAAAACTGATATGGGATATTATGAGTGTTTGTCGAGCATAAATAACTAGCCATAACATGGAAATCTTGATAGTAATGTCATTATTAGATTAAATGCTTTTGCTGCTTTGTGTCATGGCTTCGTTCACATTACCATTTCGAAACTGGTATGGTATCACATGATCCGTGACGAACATCCTAACCTGGAAATAATGACATGCATGTCATGAAAGTCATGGCTACACTCCTCTCGAGGCGCGCTCGCAGTCGTTTCGCTAACTTCACATATACCAAATTTAGTATCACGCGACGTGAATAGACGACGAAGTTAAATGACACGTCCAAACTTGATAATCATGGCATTCGTGTCATGTAAACCATGACTACATGCGCTGCTCATAGTGCGCTCATGGCCGTTTAGCTAGCTCTACATATACCCTAATTTGGTATCACGTGATCTGAATAGACGGCGAAAGTAAATGACACGTCTAAATATGGCAATGATGGCATGGAAATCGTGTACGGCATAATTTACGTCCGTCTCGTAATGTTCGGTTGGTTTTAAAGTGAGATATTGACCTTCCTCATTCGTGCTTCGCATATCATCGGTTCCCTTTGTGCGTGAGATCTGCCATTTTTTTAATGGGTCTGAATGAGCTACACCTTGTTTTGTCAATTTATGTTTACATGCAGTGCCAGTCGACAGTGGCAACCTTCTTGACTTGTTCACTCGCCGTCCTGAAAGGCCTGGCAATTGACGGTCTCTGGGACCTCTTCCACATCGCCGTCCTCTACGCTGAGCGCTGGCCGCTGTCAACACCGCCAGTCTCTTACTCAGTTGCGTATTTGTTTTACATAGCCCAATCACCGAAGAATTGCATACGGGAGCAGAGAACAAAAAGTAATGCAATTGTGAAACATTTAAAAATATTGTTTACAAGTTTAGAATTGCACGTACAAATATTGAGTTAACTAAACTACAATAGTCATGGGTGTTACATAACATAAACAAATAGTTGAAAAGCGAGCGAATTCTTAGGCATCAAGAGATGTGGAATATTGTTGTGACGACACCATGTGAAGATGCACATACATGTTGTGGTGCTCTATTTCGATGCTCCCAGCATTGTATAGTGCAGGCGTTTAGAACCAATAAAACTAGAAGGCACAACAGAAGCTGAATTATATGAACAGAAAACTGTATTAGGATTCGTTTCGACAGTCGGCTTTTAACAAACTAGGTTATGTTTCGAACATTTCAAACAGAGGCCTAGGAATTGGCTGGCTTTGTATATCGTGAGCTTTCTCGCTGCACAAACGGTCACGCTTCCTCAAAATGATAAAGTAAAGTGCCAATCATCCATGTTTTGTCATTTGTGTGGGACTATTTCGTAATATTCACGTGCACATAATTAGTGGATTCCATTCATCTCGCAATACTTCACGTATATATGCAGGGCGTTTCAAAAATGTGTCCAATATTGTTTAAAGATAAGGAAAATACGCTATTTGCTCATTGCCTTCCCAGTCTTCTCTGCAGCCAAAGGTATTTTAGAAGGGTTGAATACATAATTGAGAACAGTACTTAGGAAACTTACTTTATTTACCTTTTCAATTAGCAGAGTCAAGTAGTTAAGTGAACTGAATAAATTGAAGTCCTTGATATGAAGAACCCATTGCTGTTTTGAGATTTCGGAAAAAGGGCTTCTTGTAATGACTATGCAGGTCGCACACCCACACAATGGAGTCGGTAGATGGTTGATATAACGGCCCCTTATTTCGGTTTCACTCATTCGCGATTGGGTTTTGGTTTCCCCGCAGAATTGGGGATATTTTCATTTAATTGCAGTTATTACTACAGGTCGTTCTTGTAAAATCTCAATGCGGCCATCGGCTTTTTGGATAAAGGGCCTAAATTCTGCCTTCTGACCTAACTGTCTAACTACAGCAGTAGTTAGACAGTTAGGTTGAAGAGCAAATGATTTTATTGTCTAATTACTGGTTCAAATATTACCTTGACCCTCTTAAGATGCCTGCCGCTACACAAAAACCAATTTACTAAAACACCCTATGTATATATATATATATATATATATATATATATATATAAACGCCATTTTATAACAATGTTTTTTTCTGAATATAAATTTAAAACGTGGATTTGAAATTGTGAGCACAACTCTTATCACTGAACAAATGAAAGAAAAAACGTTGACCTGTAAGGAACTTTTTTAGACATATTGCTTCGCAAGGCTGTAAGGTGAAATCAAGGCACGACATAAGATCCACTTCACTGCTTTTCAGTACACTCATCTGAGCACAGTAGTTATTTTAAAACAAGGAAATGTTAACCAAAGCTCTCTTTAACCACATTGTTGCAAATTAACATTTACAAACATTCATCTACATGCTGCCCTGCGAAATATAGCAAGCTGACGTTCTGTACTCTGAAAGAGCGCTTTTTCGATTCCTGAATTTTTTGTTCACGCAGGCTTCGTGATGTCCATGGTCGTGGTGTTGTCCACCAAGTGCGAGAAAAACCCGGACAACATTGCGCCGGCCATCGCGGCTCCGTTCGGCGACCTGACCACGCTTTTCCTGCTCTCCGGCTACTCGTCTTTAATGCTGTACCATCCGTGTGCGTCATTGCCACGACCACTTCAAATGAGAAGCATTTATTAGCGAACTTCGGTGACTTTGAGCGTATCTATCTATCTATCCACCTACGACCTTTAGCTCTCCTGGCCGTTTTGAGTATCGATATCAAACTTGGTATGGCATAACGTGGCTTTATAAAGAACATATATGACTAGTAATAACATGAAAATGACAACATGTACGTCATGAATATTGTTATTTACAATTCATCGGCCTGCAGCTCTTGCGGTGGTTTCGTTCACATGGCTTCTTGCAAAACTTGTATGGTATGACATGATTGCATGGCGATTACAAGCGACAGACCCTAACATGAAAATCATGACATGTGTGTCATGTAACAAGATGACTATATGCCATGCTCATGATGCCCTCGTGGCCGTTTCGCTAGCGTCCCATACACCAAATTTGGTATTACGGTAAGTGAATGGATGGCGAAGGTATGTGACTGCTGCAAACATGATAATCATGAGAGGCGTGTCATGTAAAAACATGACCACATGCCACAGTCAAGATGTGCTGGCGACTGTTTCATTAGATTCACTTTTACCAAATTCGGTATTACGGGACGTCCTGGATGGCGAAGATCTGTGATTGGTGCAAACATAATAATCATGAAATGTTTGTCAAGTGGAAACATGACTACATGCCAGAGTAAAGGCGCCTATACATTTTGACGTGAAGTGGTGCGCGTGCTCGCTGGCACTCATTTCGTCGCATCACGCCGGCGTTGCCACGCCAGGCACTGGAGCTGCCATGTACTCGCAGGCACGCGCCGCACAGCATCGCTGTGATGCATGTGCGTTTCAGCGTGTTCGGCATCCTCCGTCACGAAAAGAGGGAGATGCAGTGTTGTTTGGGCAACGCATCGGCGCGAAACTCAGCATGTCGCAGTTTACACCGGTTGCCATCTGGCCGCACTGACGGACGCTGGTCGCGCCTGGCGTCTGACTATAGAGTGCTCGCGTTTATCTAACGTAGCGTCGCTCTGCCAGCGTGCACGTGCGTCAAAGTCACATTGGAGTATATTGGGCCCTTCATGATGCGCTCGTGGTTGTTTTGCTAGCTGCACACATACCAAATTTGGTGTTACATGACGTCAATGAATGACAAAATATAAGACTGGTCTAAGCATAATAATCCTGACCCGCGTGCCATGCAGGAGCATGACAACATACCGCGCTCATAGCGTGCTCGCGACCGTTTCACTAGCTCCACATATTCTAAATTTGGTATCCTGTGACGTCAATAAATGACGAAGGTAAACGACGCATTCAAACATGATAGTCATGACACGGAAGTCATAGAAGGCATCATTTGCCTTCAACTCGTCACGTTGTGCTGATTTCAAAGTGACATATTAACCTTTCTCATTCATGCTTCGCATTTCATCGATTCCCACTGTACGTGGGGTCTGCCAACTTTTATCAGCATTGTAACGACCAGGTCTTGCTAAAGTAAAGTAAAGCCTGTAGATTTGCGTTCTTGTGCAAGTTACACGGCGCTTGTTCACTGCGCACACGCTTACGTGCTTGCCGCCGTGCTTCATTGGTTCGGTTATGTTTCGGGCCCACTTGCTATAAGAATAGTTGATATCGATTGATCACAATGTTTACTATACTGACATCATTGTGCCTGACGGCACAACGTGTTTTATTATACGCTTAGGCTTCAGGCACAAGTGTGACCGCTCTATGCTAAGATTTTCGTGCGCTCAGAACAAGCTGTGGGTGGAATCAAGTACAATCAACTTGACGTTGATTGTATTTGTTTAAAAGGGCCAGAGTTAGCAGACAAGAAAGTGTTGCAAACAAAGATCAGCAGTTATTCACTAAAAGCTGTGTGCATCAGTTGTGCATAACTTCAAAAGACTTGCTGTATCAATATTACTGATTCATCTACGTGTAATACAGCTCACTTTCATTTCTTTCGCGCTCCCGTCTGTACATGTGGGGTTGCACCACGAGGCAGCACCGACTGGCCCAACTTCCCACGCCTCTGCATACAATGTGCTCTTGACGACCATATGCAGATCTGGCGCCGCTGGTGATCGCGTTGTGCCTGCTCCTGCTGCCAATGTGGATAGTTCTGGCCCGACGCAACACCGTCTCCCGGGAAGTGCTGCGCGTCGGGTGGCTGCCAATTATTATCGCACTCACGGTCTCGAGGTAGGTGAGCAGAGAACGCACCCATTGCTCGTTAGGAAAGCGAGTGTTACACTGAAGCTTTTTCGTTAATTCAGCTGAAATTTCGCCCCGTAATTTACGTGTAAATCAGCTTTCCCTGCTCTTACTACTGTTTTTCTGTCTACTAACGCTATTGTACAGCATTAGCAGCAGGCCCCGCTGTGGTGTTCTAGTTGCTCAGGAACTCGACTGCTCACCGGCAGGTAGTGGGATCGAATTCCGGCTGCGGTGACTGCATTTTTGGTGGAGGAGAAAATGCTGAAGGCCCAGGTGCTGATATGTCTATGCACGTAAAAGAACCCCAGGTGGTCGACATTTTCTGAGTCCTCCCCTGCAGCGTGTGTAATAATCATATAATGGCTTTGGGGTGCTAAATACAACATATAATTCAAGCATTTGCAGCAGTTTCTAAGTTATTCTGTGCGAATGCATTTTATGGGATAATTCTATTTTGTTTTGTTCTCTATTTCTTTTTATGTTTTTTATGTCGCAATATGATGTGTCTTCTACCTGCAATGATGTGGACTTCAATAAAAAGAACTGTTATTAAAAAATAAACCCTCAAATAACCAAACAAAGCGGGTCAACAACAAAACCACAAAAAAATGAAAGTAAATAAAATTAAAAGCAGTCCTAATTTCAGACATTCAACATTTCTCTTGTCGCAATAATACCGTCTCGTAATTAAGGATAATTGAATAGAATTTCATAATGGCAATGGGAAATAATGGAAGAGGCTCCAAGTTTAATTACCCGACAATTTGTAAAGCTCTTCGTACGAAAGCTCCTATATACAAGTTGCTAGCAACTTTAATTGTGCATTCGTTTTTGCAGCTTCGGTGGGTACATCCTGGATTACGCAGTCTTCGCTTATCCGCCAATCGCCCTGCACCTGTCTTCAGTAAATGGTGAGTCAGGCTATTTCAACACTGGAATCCACCCAGTTCTACGCGATGGCTTTAAACAGCTACTTTCTCAGCTGTGTACACGGCTGCATCATAGGTTCAGGGCTTCAATTGATAGTCTCTATCAGTGATAACTTGAGAGTGAAGTAAATAAATAAACAAATAGATAGCGCTTATCTATTGCCTTTCCTATTTTTACGATATTCCAGCCAGATGTGCCAGATCTTGCCGTTCGTTGCCATCTCCAGCTCTTGCCCATCGCCTAGCTTTGGCCTGTGCACACTTAACCAAATCTCACCCTTAAGGGTGTAAATGAGCTTGTCGCCAGACGAGCACCCTTTACTCCCTATTGGGTGTTCAAAAAGGGTGCTGAGAAAGGGAACAGAGCTTAGCACCCTTAAGAAAAGGGTGCAGAGCAAAAATTTTAAAGGGTGTAACGAGTGCACCCTTTAAATAAAAGTGCTGTGATGTCATAACACCCTTTCAAATGAGTGCTGGAAGGGTGCTCCACATCGACGTACCTGTGGGATAAATCTAGGATTGATGCTGGAGATGGCTAAAAATGCAGATTGCTGTATACTCTGTAGACCATGCTGAGTGACAGCCCACATACGGTTTGTTAGTACTTGAACACATGTACTAAGTCGTCCATTTCACCCTGAACACGTGCACCATGCACGCGGCCGGCCCTCCGCAGAGTGCTTTCCGCAGGCGCTTATGAAACTAGCACTGAAACACAGTGACAGCTCTAGGTGGGGCTTTTGCATCATCGTCTTTTAAAACACAGTGTCTCTGCAGTGAAGCTCTTGGTAAGTTGGCTGCAGTGTTTTGCTTTCTCTATCTGTAGGCAATTATAGAATCCGGCACTGTTATCGAGAAGTGCTGCAATTGTGCTTACCCTGTCCATGTGCTGTTTCTCGGGTTTTTGTTTTTTGCTGCTCTGGATAGAACAAGCTGCACTTACTGCACGTCTTAAGAACAGTGTCGAATTTTAGATAAGCTTGTACTGTTGCAAGAGCAAAGTTAGCTTCACCACAAAGGAAGCATGCTATGCAGTTATGCAGGGAAATAGCCTATCATGTAGTGCATCACGACGCAAATCATACGAAGTATTGTTTTGTTCGGTTTTGTACAGATCCGTGAGCGGTGTCTTACATTCCTGGTGTTCACAATGTCGGCGCTCACGCTGCCTCTGTAAATGCTACGTTGTTCTGAGATAGCATGTCGGCGTTCATGGCGCTATGTGAGCAAACAATGGGGAAGCAGCAATACAACACTACTTCATGCACTGATTTCAAGAGCACCGTGAGGTGGCATCGGCAAGGCTTTGAGCCACAAACCAAGGTGCACGAAAGAAAAAAAATCTGACATAGGTATAATATTTCAGACATAAATGTGTTCAATGTACCTACGATGGAAAGTGCTTGAACGCGCGTGTGGCGCAAGCAGCTCGACATGTGGCGACACATCACGACCACTCCCCGAACTAAGGTGGACCGATGGCTTTCGTTGAGGAGTGCACATTTGTACTGGCTATAAAAGAAAAGAAGGAGGCATTGGCTGTTCCTTCCTTCATAGAATAGGCTTTCACCCAAAAGGTAAACGTATCTTGACAGAGGTATCTGAACATTTACTGCGCATTTCCACAACGGCGAAGGAATGAAAGGCGGCAGCAGCTTATTTAGGGTAACTTGAAGAACGGCATGTAGCTCGAAACTTGCCGCGCGCTGCTCCAGCAGAACAGGCGTACGAAACGGACATACAACAGGACGAGTGCCAACTAAGAACTGTGTACTAGCTTCTCACTAATAGCGGGCTGCTCAGACACAAAGGAATGCGTACGAAATGAACGCTCAAGTATACACAGGACCAGTAAGAATCAGCAGCTCTCACAATTGTTGCTTCTTAATTTTTCAGCAGTGCACTCCTTTCGTAAAGGCGGCCACTGCAGTGAGTGAATTGGCATTTGTGCTCTCCGTAACTTACACCCAAAACTAGCTGTGAAACGTTGAAACCACCCGCATCAAGAACAGGCCTGCACGAGCGGCAATTAACGTATTGCAGAAGCGTGCTCACTTGTGCGGACCGTGAGAACGCATTCATAGGAAGAGCGATGACTTCTAAAGTTATATATAAAGCGCACATTTCTCGCTATCTTGCCAGTTATTAAAAGTGAACACGCTGAAGTGCCACCGAGCTATGATCACCGTAAACAGAAAATAACGTACATAAATAGCTCACCATTAGTGCGCTAATTAATGTGTGTTCCGTGTTAGAGTCGCTTCACTCCGCATGCTACGGAGCTATATATAGGTGTCATAGGTGTGACTAGTGGTGACTGAACAATTTGTTCTTTTCTTTGAGTTTTTCCTGGTCATCTGTGCGGGTATATTTCATAACGTATTACCCTCATTGAAAAGGCGTGAGCGGAGCGGTGGTGTACCCCAGCATAAAACATTTACGCGTCAGAAGTTTGTTTCGAATAACGATAGAACCAACCATGAAATACTCTGCTTCGTTTGTCTGATGGTTACCGATTGCAGCGCTGGGCGGCAACCTGGCGGCCGTCTTCAGCTGCAGCTTGTCCAGTTACCTCAACCGGGTGGCGCCACTGGGAGACATACCATTCGGGGAACACGTCTGCGTGGGGCCCCTACGGATGTACTACCAAGGTGGGGAGATGGCCAACGTGGCCTACGTGCTCGTCGGCGTCGTGGTGCCCGGCCAGACGCTGTTCGCCGTGCTCTCTAGGATTCTGCGCTTCGGCAAGGTCTCCATGATCATCACCTTCTTCGCAGCCTATTGTGGTGCATCGCTAGGGCAGGTGGGTCCCCACCGATGATGTTGCGTAATTACGAAACGCGAAGAATTCACTTTTCGGTTAGACACAGGAGGAAAAACAAGAGTATTCCGCACGCGACCATCAGGGCTACGAGCAGCGCTGACAAACACTCCCAGGTGTCGACGCACAAATACAACCGATAAAGTCGACAGGAGGACAACAGCCGCTTTAGTTCAAATCGTTGAGCATTGGACGCCTTATTTGATGGCTGCAGCTACGCTGTCGGCGGGGCCTGGAGGAAGGAAGAAAAAAGAAGGGCGCATCATCACACGAGTGAATCCTACCGTGTCGGCCCAACACATGATCAAAATGTCAGAGCGTGCGCTGGGTTTTAGTCGCCTCGGTGGCGTTTCGTTCCTGAACCTCTTGCGTGAGGTGGCTGGTCTGCACCGAACAAAAGGATTTAAAATGAAATCTGCTGCGTGCCATACTCCGCAGCGCGCCGCAGTATCGGCAAGAATCGTTGCGTACTTGATCTTGGAGTGAAATGTCGCATGTTGGGCCGACACTGGTGGCTTCAAAACAGGTCGGCTTGCCAAAGCTGGCTCAATTACGTAATTCTTTTTTCTCGTGTATGCCATTTAAAAATCTTTCTTTCGACTAATGAAAGGTCAATACAAGATCGACACGCCACACCTTCTATATTTGTCAGGTAACGATACCAGACAAAGCAACTCACTAGCTGTAACACTAATCGCGAAACGTACCAAAGTTTTTCTTTCCTAGAATTAACTGTAGTGGATCGGAACAAATAGCTCGGCAAAAAGATGACGAAAGATTAACTCTCGCAATTTGAATCGCACCTTCAGTAGGAAGCAATTATCTTGTCTAAATATCTGGAATATCTTTTGTATGTTTCTTTTTTTGTTTAACTCGTGCCAACTCGTCTGTTGGACCTAAAGAACGCTGCACTAACGCTTATTGCCCCTTAGTTTTGTTCATCAAAGCACACGTGCGAATGAACCCATTGTTTCCCGTGTTATTTTTTATTTTTATTCACCTATATAATGTACCAGGCTGCCAATATATAATGTAATGGCTGTCACCTATATAGTGTACCGGCTTTGACTCACTTTGACCCTCCATGAGTCGTTGGCACCATCTATTTAGGAAACTCGCAAACGCACTCTAGGGCGCGAAAAGGTGAATGGTTGTGTTCGATTTCCCTTGTTAGCTGATTGAGCTGGATGAATTTTTTTGCATGACTATATTGGTATCTTTTGGGTTCATAATTTTCAGTTCAGTATTTCCCGGGATATTGACCACTGCAGCTATATATAAACTTTTGTAGTAAGTTTCATGTTTTCAGACAGTTACTAATGTATTACAGAGAAAGATATTATGAGAGCACAAATGCCTTCATGCCGTGATTGTCCGTCGCCGGTGTCCGTATTCGCAATTGCGCACTGTGAAGAAAAAGACACAAACGAAGTAGACAAAAACTCCGAGGCCCGACTGGGATTCAAAACCGGACCCCCTGTCTGTCAGCCCAGTATTTTAACACTAAGCTACACCGGTGCTTGAAACCCCTCGCATAAAACTTCATTTCAGATTAACACTAGGCAACTTTCATGTTGAGAAAGGAATCGCGTTAATATAAGTAATAAAGTGTTCCAGAACAGCAAAGGAACAACCGGGCATTACACAATGGCAATTGCGTTATGACGAACAGTGGCATAGTGGATGCCTTTCTACCATAAAGAATTGTTATTTACGGCATAATCGCTAAACTGCAAGGGTTCTCATAGCAGTTACACAATGCATAAATGAAAAAGTCTTCAGAAACGCCGCTCTTCCTGCATTCGCGGTGACAGTGCTGCACGGCCCGTGCAGCCTTGGTGCTTTTTGTCCTTGAACAAGAAGTCACGGTGAAGTGCTGTAACTGCCCACTGGTCATTATGGCGCTTTATGCCTAGCCTGAGGCGTACACACGAGGGATGAAGGATGTGGGGATTCACTTTGGCCGTCAGTTTATCACCAGTCAGTTCATTACTAATAATGTTATTGTTATTACCTAATATGTTGATGATATGTGGGGTTTAACGTCCCAAAACCTCCATATGATTATGAGAGACGCATTACCTAATATGTTATATTTAATATTATGAATCCTATTTATTATTATATCACTATTTTTTGTTGTTGTCCTTTGAGAGGTTCCGTGTTCCGAAATCATATGAGTGCGAAAGGCCACGCCGATGCCTCCAAGATAACGCTTCAACAGACATATTGCATGTAACACTTCACAAGCGGAGTAACAAGAAAGGCGAGACGAACAAAAAAATACTCGCTAGTCACATTCACCCTTTTCAAATTCAAAGTATCCGGATCATATACTCTATATGGTAACCTAGAATTTCTTCACCTAAGCACGTTGCTTTCTAGCCGTTCGAAATTTCCCCGAGGCTATCCTTATTATGTTTGGCCTTCAGCCTTAAAAGCCCCTTCAGGAAGGTATGTAAAGTAAGAGCTCAGAATTAGGGTGTAGTAGTGCGAATTGAAAGCACTGTAAACGTCAAAATGGCAACAAGAAGTTACAGAGGTAGGTTGAGACAAACATGAGCAAGGGGCCATTTTTGGACAAACGCCACTCTCTGCAATGTATTACGGAATCAAGTCGTTTTTGTTGAAGTAGCGGTACCTAAACAGCCGCGAGAGCAACGGTTACTCTGGAAGCTCATTGTAATGAAACGGTCGACAGGAAATGCTGTGAAGAACATAGGGGAAATTCCTAAATACAGGTATAAATTATAAGTCGACGTTATTGCTCCTAACTAACTACACCAATCGGCCAACAAAGCGTTTTAGAGACTGTTTAGCCACTTTTCGTAATAGCACCTGTCCTATCTGAGTCCCGCCACGGTGGCCTAATAATTAGTGTGTTCGAGTGTCAGCAGGAGGTCTCGGGATCCTATCCCCTCTGCATCGGCCCCATTTCCGATGGAGGTGGGAAAGCTATAGGCCAATGTATTTATTTCTAGGTGGACGTTGAAGAAGCACAAGGGATTAGAATTTATAATAATGAAAAATTTGAACCATCTCCCCGAACAGAGTCTGAAGGGGTGCGAAGCATAGGCGCTGCGCACGTGTGACGTGACGGATTGAAAGGCGCTAACGCGGGTGCTGCGGTGAGCGCTGGAAGATTCGTTTCAAGCGATGGCTGGCATCTGTCTAGTCGTTTCTTCAGAGTGGACACGGGCGCTGGACCGGAGCAGGCGCGCGTTTCGCCTTGATGATCGCCGTCTTGTGATCAGTGAAGTGCACGCTGAGAGGTTCCTGCAGACTTTCTGCGTCGAAGTTGGCAAAGGCCAGATCGATGCGCATTCCTTTTTTATCGTGGTGGGTAATTTCCGTTCCTCCGACATGCACTTCAGCGAGTGCACGTCTAGCATGTAATCCTCGAGCCATTCTCGTCTTCCTCTACTGACAAAAACGTTGAAGTCTCCCGCGAATATAAGAGGCGCACAACGACACGCCTCGCTTCAATCAGTCAGCATCTCCTCCAGACAGCACTGGAGGGTTCTACGTCTATCCCAACCTCCTTCGGCAGGTTGGGAGTGACGTAGAGCACGAGGATTGAGACGTCACCAATGCGCACGGCAACGCACTCGGACCAGTAGTGTCTTTGAGAAGGTCCTGATTGTTTTTACACGTCGCCTCCTCTTCGCCCGGCAGAACCCAGCAGTTGCGCGTGGGGGCTTCAGTGGAGGGCGCGTGACGCTTTCGAGACGTTGCCAAATGACGACGACGTCAAGGATTCCTCAGCGTTGGTCTCCGCTGTCGGTGCTTTCACTTGGCTTTCTTCACTCGCGTCTCGTCGGTGTTGCCGACGTGTTGAAGACGCTTGCACTTCGCTTCCTTGGCTTACGTCTCGTTGGTGTTACCAGCACACCTTCTCTATTCTCGCACTGTTGTCGTTGATCTTCCACTTTCGACGCTTGAATTCAGCTTCCCTGGTCCGCGTATTGTTGGTGTTGCAGGCGCGACGTCGCTATTCGCGAGCGCGATCAGCTCCGCTAACCCTCGCAATGCCGAACAACGCCCGGGCTTGGCCAAATCACTTCGGCGCATCTTCCGGCGGGCGAAGCAGCTAGCTTTCTGGTGTCCTCTCTATCGCAGATAAACGGGCCGAAAGAGTGTTCACTATACTCGACGACAACTTTCTGTGGCAGCACAGCCAAGGATACAAAGCCCACGCACGCCCTTTTTTACTACGTTTCTGCTGTAGCGCGCTGTAGTGCCTTTGTTTTGGCTTACTTCATCAAATAGTCTGTGGCTGCTAAGATCCACTTCTTGCCGGCAGATGTCAGCGGAAAGGGCCCCAGTAAATCTATTCTTGTTTGATCGAACGGCACACTAGGTAGTTCAATTGCTTGAAGAAGCCCATGGGCTTCAGTGGCGGGGATTTTCGGCGTTGACATTCCCGGCAGATTTTTTCGTATCACTTAACGAATGCGTAAAGCTTAGGCCAGTATTACGCTTGTCGAGCGAGAGTTCGAGAGGAACCAAAATGATCAGATGTGGGCTCATCGTGGCAGGTGAGAAGGATGTCGTCACGCATGTCAGTTGGCACGACGAGAAGATAAGTTCTCTCAATGCTGTTGGAGTTTTTCATATACAGAGCCCCACCTCACAGGCAGTATGACGACAGACTTCGAGAAATACGATGAAGTATGGAAGAGTTACGTCTTTCAAGTTTTCAATAACTGCGCGTATTTCGTCACCCGCGTGCTGTCGTGTAATCAGATCGGTTGTAGCAAGGGTGGTGTAGTAATCACCGTCGTCTTCGGTGTCGTGGGCCACAAGCTTCGACAGGGGCGTGGGACAACGAATCCGCATCTTTGTGCTTGCGGCCCGATTTGATAGTGATCGTGAAACTGAATTTCTGCAGACAAAGACGCCATCGTGCCAGTCGCCCACATGGGTCCCGTAGGTTGGCTAACGAGCACAACGAATGATGGTCGTTAACTACCTTGAAGTGGCGTTCATGATGGTAAGGC